ATTGTTAGTAGATTTTTTTTATGACAACAATCTTATCAACATTTTAAACTCCTTTCATACAAGTTAATAATCAAAATTTCAAACTATTAATTAAGTAYCATTTACCTGATGAGTATCATTAACGTCACGGAAGTATTTCAACTGTTTTTCCATTGAAGACTGGTCATGATCCCATCGTCGATGTATATACAAGAATCCTGACAATTGCATCACCCAACCAGCAAAAGGTACATGTCGAATAGCTGATTTAAGTACCATTTTCAGCTTATGTGCAGGTGGCTTGGAACTGTAATACATACCACCCCACAAAAAATTCCAATCCAATCGATTACGGTGATTCATTATTAACAATGCACCGTCAAATGGATTGATGTGATCTCCAGTTATTATAAAACGAGTGTTGAACAACAGACGCATCAATATCTAAAAATTAATTATTGTAGTTCAATGAATAAAAAGCATATTGCAAATTACTAACRGTAGGATACATTTCCCAYACAGAGAATATGATGCCTATGATATAACGGAAAGCCTGGGGATAAATAAACATCAAGGGTACTGTTGGACAACATAGAGCAAGAAATCCACTTGTAATACTTAGAAACCATAASGTTATGTATGCGATTCCTCTCCATTCCATTTTCAATTATTTTAACTGTAAACAAATTTTCAAATTAACAACATATATATAAAAATTAATTTTTTTTTATATTTGTGTACAAAAGCATGCAGATAAATACCAAGCCAAGTACAACCAGCAGTTAAAAATTAWGTAAATGTTACGACGGACAATAAAGGTACTTAGTACAAATGTTCGGTTGAATTTAACTTTATTTTTAGATTATAATTTATTAAGTATTCACTTAATAATAAAATATAATTGATCAAATAACATTTTTTTTCTTCATACTAATCAAAATAATATATCAGCAGTTATATCTTTGAGAAGATCCTAAACTATACTAAATGGTTAAATAATAAAAATACAACAAAGTAATGCATATAGATCAATAATAGAATGCAATCAATTTATCATAACTTTATGTTTTACCTATTACAATATTAATATACTAGATTTAATCTGTATTTATTTTAATTACAGTTGTATTTTTCTAATCAATATTGTAATGTTAACTAGACTATTTTTAAATTAAACTATTATCAAAAAATAAAAAAATAAAATATATATTTAGTATTGTTTTATTCATATAATCATACTGCAAAAGTGGTGTATGCAAGGTTACATAAAAAAAGAAATATTTAAGAAGTAACATGTACTGAACGGTAAAATTCTAAAAAAAATAAGAATTAGAAATTAAATCTAAACATATATTGATCAAACATAATTATCCTCAAGTAAACTGTAAAAAAAAAAAATACAATTAAGAACATTAAAGGTCTAAATAAATTAAATTAAGACWCAAAAATAATAGTAATAGTCTGTAATAAACGGAGAACTAATGTTTTAAAAATTGCATAATTGGAATTTAATGTAAAYAAATAATTTTTGTTTATAACATTCTATAGAAATGAACTAAAATTAAATTATAATATACCACTCTTACATTACACCAAAAAATAAAATTTAACATTTATTGAGTGAAAAWTAAAAATCACGTAATTTGGCAATAAAAGAACAAAAATTCTCCAAAAATAAAAATGAAATCTAAACTTTTTTATATTTTAAATATTTCTTGAGAAGTTGATTAGCTTCGATATCCGTTTCTTTGTCCTAAAATAATTGATTTTGTCATTTAAAATAATATAACCAATAAGATTATAGTATGACAAGTATTTTATTGACCTCAGAATCCTTAACAGGAAGCTCCAATGATTTTTCTAACCAATTTACAGCAGTTTCATACTCGTTTTTCGCAATGTAACACTTGGCAAGATGTAGGTGACAGTCTTTTAGCTGAATTGGAGATTCACTTTGGAATTTTAAAAATAGTTCAATAGCGTTTGATATTGTACCTTTAGGTACTTCTCCATACAACCAACTAGCTATACGTCGATCAAAAGATGATAAAACAGCAACCTAAATAGATAATATTTGTGATTAAGTTGTAGACTAATTAGTATAATTTTTAAATTTTACTTCATATTCAAGTTTTCCTTTTAAATAGTATAAAGTTGGATCACGAGAATTGATTTTTATTGCTTCATTTATGTGGTTTTGAAATATATAACCTCCTTCAATTTTTTCTTTAGTAGATCCTAACTGACCTCGAGCACCACTACATATAGCAAACCATTTGTGTGCGTTGCAATTCCCTGGATACATTTCTAAGGCATGCTTTGCCCATTTTACACCTAAAAAATAATAATTTATTTAAAAATGTATACTCAAAATATTTTAGAAATTTCCAACCTTCATCAATAACTGTTTTACTCTTATCTGTATTTTTTTTTGCTGCAGTATAATATTTTGATACAAATTGACATGATTTCGCTAACCTCCATAGCACCTCAATATCATCTGTTCGCTAAATAAATAWATAAAAACATAATTGAGCGTCGGAAAATGTGTAATAAGAATGAAAATAAAACAATTTACTTCTTCATTAAGGCGGATTAAAATTTCATAAGCTTTAAGTTTATCTTCATCAGAACCTTCAAATAATTCATCTACTTGATCAAAAATATCATCACTAAGTAAAGAAGGTCCGGTGTAATGGTCACTAAAATGTTCTGAAGACAAACTACCATCAGGGCTATAAAAATAATGTACATTTATGATTTTTTTATTTATAWTAAGTCAGGAAAAAAMTTAATTACTTTTCGTTCAGAATATTTAAATGTTGGGATTCTTCGTTTTCTGATGACATGTCGTGAAATTCGTCGTCAGTTCCTAGTGCTGTATACAAACTAGCTTCACTTGTTACACTGGTACTACTTGATAAGGCTGATCTTTTTCCTGGTGTTATAATTTTCTTCCTAAAATGAATATAACATGGACAATTTATAAACATTTCAAATTAAATAATAATAACATTTACTTTAATGCTTTAAATTCTGCTTGTAGATCAAGTATTGCAATATTTAAATCATCAACTTCCTGTTTTAATAATAGTTTCTCTTTTTTTTCTAGTAGTCGAGTTATAAAAACCACCCCAACTGAACCAACCGTTATTCCAATTCCAACTGCAACAGCTATTACTCCCTTTAACCAATGCGGATCTGTTGACATTACATTTGGTGTTCCTACACAATACAATAATCAGACACAAGACACAATAACACCAAATGTTTCTATCACCTTATTATACATTTGTATAAAACTGTATTGCACATTTATTA